AGTATAAATTAGAGAGACAACATATCCACTCATTGGACTAGTGGCATTGGCTATATGTTACTGCCTCAGATCTAAACTACCTCAGATCTAGCTTTGGCTCACATATTAAACAAAATTTGAATCAAGTACACTTGTTTAATGTAACACTAATCACCATTATTTATTTTTTTATTAGTTTTACAATAAGAAATTGAAGGCACAGACAACAGGACTAATAAAGTCCCAAATTAAGTCCTGCCATAAATGAAGTCCTGCCATATTTTGTTCGGTTATCATATTATGAATAAACATTTAATAACCAAAAAGAGAATCAAATGCATAATATAACCAAACAATTTAGATGAATTTGATGCAGATGATTTGCCAGCTTGAACCAATATCGCCGAACAGCCTTTATTCTATCCGACAATAATAATATGAACTGAAAGCTGGCCAGCTTTTTGTGGCAAAGCAACTTGCCCGTTCGGGCAACCAAGAGGAAACTTTTACTTGCCCATCATGATATTCCCTTGCCCCGGGCAAGTGTTAAGTTACACCTCTGAGCATAGTTGCCATTTGGCAGCTGTTGGTCTGGTTGAAGTGCTCAGATAATTTGGGGAGACCCATGGCATGCTCTCTCAACAGTGAAGGTTCAAAAACACACATGCCGGAATGCTTATAGAATACCTCGCCATTTGTCCGCATTCATTGACACATAAATAAGTACAAGAATCACTTCAAAATAGTTTAAGGGTAAAGTTTAGAGATTAAATCATATGAGTATGTTAGTTTGGTTTACAAGGAATTAATAGCGGTAAGGTGTGAAAGTTGTGGGTATTCTATAGTTGTATCAAAAAAGTGAAAAACCAAGCTAACCACAATATAAAGCTTGCCACAATGTCAAAGAGCATAGTTGCTGACTAAGAAACATCTATTAGACCATGTACAGTACTTGAGTCTTGTGATAATATCAGTGATATTGCTTTTGTATTATACGATATACTGTAAACTTGCTGTTAACATATTATATTATTAATATTCATGGTTGTCAAATATCATAAAATCAACACACAAAATTCACACACAAAGGTTTAAAATAGTGTATATTGGTATAAACGTTTAATAAAAATGCATACATACGTAACCCATGGTCGGCATGGAATTTTGTCACTTGGCACAGTACTTTAATGTTTTTTTAATGTTTGTCCCACATTAAAATATATTGAGTCAATGACAGTGCAACTGTTCATATTAAAACGTTCTAATCACATTTTACATGCACATTTGTATTCAGTAGTAATCTTTTCATAAAGGTACATCAAAGTCCCAAATCAAATTCTTCACTGACAGTAGTGACAGTATGTTATTGACTCCCAAACGACAAATATTATAAAACACGCTTCCAAGCTGAAAAGAAATATTTACTGTTGTCAGTCAATTAGACTCTTCTCTTTGAATCTTGATCTTCCACAAGTATTGCTGTTGATTATATTCCATATTTTTTTGAAGAACATCGCAGACTATATATTTACAGTATTTCCACTGTCAGTTGAAAAGTTTATCATCATAGTTTCAGTCTCTGGTTTCAGTCGCAAAAGGTTAATTCTATCGCCCCTTTGCACGGCCATGTTTGATAAAATCAAAGCGGCCCGCACCCCCGGTTTGAAAAGTTAAATTTCTGAAATATTCAAAATTTGAAGCATCACGTGACCAGCCTTTACCAGGGCCTTTGCTGCTTCGCCTCCTTCCTCAATAGGCCCTGGGGACGAGGTTGGGGAAAATGAAGCCAGTGCATTTTAGTTTTTCTGAGTTATGAGCAGAAATACTCAACACTGAACGTTGGGCTATATATCAAATTGAAGCTATTGAAAAACTCTATTTGGTGTAGAAATTTTAAGACTTTAGCTAAAAGGGAAATATTGAAAAACTACAAACATAATTACCGATAATTTGCCGTTTTGCAGTTGTTTTTGTATTTTTTAAAGATTTTTCTTTTCGCTGAAGTCTTGAAATTTCCACACCGAATAGCAATTTTCAATAGCTTCAATTTGATATATAGCCCGACGTTTGGGGTCAAGTATTTCTGCTCATAACTCAGAAAAACTATTTTGGCTTCATCAAATCATAGGCCTTCATCATAGCAGTTAGCCTTCCAGTTTATTTATAGTTCAATGGTGCTCTGGTGCTCTACCGTATCTGTGACGAAGTGTCGCCAAAAAAATGGCGGATTTTGATGAAAAATGACGCCATTTCCATGACTACTGGTCCCTAAATTCATGGTAATTGCCACTGAACAAGGCTCAATTATGAGCCCGCCACAGTTTTCACTCCCCCCTGGTTTTTATAAAAATATTTCGGTTTTTTGCAATTTGCAGTGAATCCTTGTTGTTTTGATATTTTCGACATATTTTTTCGCCTGTTGACAATTTGTTCAAAGACGTGGAAGCTGTACACGTTAATTCTCGTCCGTGGAGCGTGAAAGACAACAAACAACTATTAAAACCTCGCGAAATGTGGGCAAAAACGATACTTCAAGCCAGAACAAACATCCGTATTTATTAGACTATAAACAGGTATTTATACATTTTTCAAAATTCACATTACTATTTTAAATATTTCATGAAAAAATGTTAGGAATAAATGGTAGAATGTACTCTATTTTTTAGAAAATAAGCCACGAGTATTTATAATGTGGTTGTAGACGAACCTTTTAACGTTAAAATATAATAATTTCATCCCTCAATCCCAAGGAATTAATGGTAAGTTGTACATGTATATGAATTTGACAAATATTTGAGTTGACATGAAACTATGATGTGCTAGTATATTAAAGAGGGAAGTAAGGTTTTATAGATTTAGCCAAGACCGGGTTTTTTCATGCATGAGCTCAGAATTGGTGCTGGAAAAAGCTCAGCTGATCTGAAAATGCATATGTTTGCCCAAGTTTGCATGTATATTGTGTGCTCTCTGATAGTTTGTTGTATGTATCTTTAAAAGGCCATGCATTAACTTGTTTGCCCCATCCCTATAAGTATTGGGTTAATTGACTCAACTGCTGGCATATTTCTGGTGTTCCTGAGGTAGGGGCTAATGTGACAGCTAGCCCTAGGCCAGTAAGCAAGGTCTCACTGTGTGGTTATTTTTATAGTGGAAATTCCTTTCAAATTGTATGCAGGGGCGTAGCCAAGGGGGGGCAAGGGGGGGGCGGTCGCCCCCCCCAATCGCAAAAAAACTATTCTCTAAAAAAGGCTAAATCCGTAGAGAAATGGGGGGGGCGTACACGTTACATCCTCGAAGCTGAAACGGATTAAGTACGTCTCGACTGAGGAAAACGACGAAATACTGGAAGAACTTGATTTCTAAAATCTCGTTAAAACAGTTGTAGATATGGTTCCAAGAGGAATAGATTTAGTTTAGATTTACATGTATATGCATTATGATAACATGAATATTCTTCTCAGACTTATTCTGTATCATATATAAAAGCGAGTAGAAACTTAGAAATGTCTGGGAAAATTTATGTCTTCGACGTACTTTATAATCTTCGGGATTCTGCAAGATTTCACCCCCAAAATGCTTGAAATCACATTTCAGGGACTCTAAATTTTAAAATTTTCCCTGGGGTGCATGCCCCCGAACCCCCCTAGAGCGTACTTTATAATCTTCGGAATTCTGCAAGATTTCACCCCCAAAATGCTTGAAATCACATTTCAGGGACTCTAAATTTTAAAATTTTCCCTGGGGTGCATGCCCCCGAACCCCCCTAGAGCGTACTTTATAATCTTCGGAATTCTGCAAGATTTCAGCCCCAAAATGCTTGAAATCACATTTCAGGGACTCTAAATTTCAAAATTTTCACGGGGGTGCATGTCCCCGGACCTCCATAGATGGTCTCGCGCCTTCGGCGTTCGCTTCGCCCCCCCAAAAATGAAGGTCTGGCTACGCCACTGATTGTATGGACAACCTGACTGGCTCAGTTTTCAGATCTCACCTGAACAAGGCAAGCTCTCAGTTACACCGGGAAGATATTTTATGGATATAAACACTAACTGGACTGACCTGGTCAAAGTAAAGTCAATACAACATTGGTCATGGAAATATTGTCAAAACAATAGAAATGTGTCGGCAAGGAAATTAATCTGGAAATAATAAATAGTTCTGCCAACCAGGCCAGCCTGGCTTCCATATTGATAGCCCCTATGGCTATAATCCATTCTTGCTTATTGCAGAATGCTCCCACAATGAGTTCATGGCTTCATGCCACTGTTGTTAGTGAACCTCCAAGAAACATGTATTAATTGTTTCAAAATTAATTAAAGACAAAAATTTGCTTGATTTTGTATATTATTTATTTTAATTCAACTTGCATGGTTAAAGAATAATTATCCAATTGGGACATATTCCAGAAAAGATCCACACTCCCCCCACAGAGGAAATTTCTGCCGTCCGGAGGGGGAGGGGAGAAAAAATTGTTTCTGATAATAGTAAATGTACGTAATTTCCTCTGTGGGGGTGGTATGGATGTTTTCTGGAATGACCCATTAGCAGTAAATAATATTAAAACCTAACTGTACAATCAAGTTACATGTAATACTTAACAGTATTATTAAAAAATTAAAACGAGAGCTCATGGGTTATTCTTTGGCTGTTTGTAGTACATACATATAAATAACACATTCCCACAAAATTATAGAGAAAAGTAATTGTTAGTTCTGGCATGCAGTTAAGTCTGGCAAGAGCTAGTGCACCACTTAACTCTTGCTATTTGAACATTCGAAAGAACTTGTATTAATTTCTTGTCCACATGCATGACTTACATCAGATTCACCCTAAATGAGAAATGTCCATTATACATATAAAATAGTGACAGTACCATATGAAGACACTGAAGATGTATTGGGTCACAGATCCCAGACTCCAATTACAAGGAAATTTACTGTAGAGCAGAGCCCAGACGGTTCAGTTAGACATTGACATGTTAACCCATTGAGCACTGAGTGGCTCTCCAGTTCACAAGTAAAATTGTCTGGTGTTAGACAGAGTAAAAATAATAAAGTAGCTAGGGTGCATTAGGGCACAATGCAACCTAATGGTTAATTAATATGGTATGTCATTTATAAGCCCGTCTAATATGCCAGGCAATTTTACTTGTTAAGGGGACAATATTGTCCATTATAAATGGATTGATTGTATTTCTTAACTATCCCAAAGTTTCATTTTACATTACAATATATCAAAAATAATCTATGCAGATATAAGAGAGGAAGTTCGTAAATAATGTCTAACTGAACAGTTGGGCTCTACTCCAATACTGGGGATACCACCACTGAAGATGCTCTCAAATGTACATGTTATCAATCATCGGCAATTTGATTGGTTAATTGTCAGGGCACAATTTTGGTCAATGCCAATGGCAGCGAATATGCATTGGCTGGCACGTATAGACACCCTTCATTCCTACAAATACCTAACTACAAGTCTACAACTCTAATGGCTGTGGAATTTATATAACTCTGACATACTATGTTGGGCAGATGAATACCATATGTAAACCTCTGAATGGGTTATTCCAGAAAACATCCATACCACCCCCACAGAGGAATTTGGACCTACCCCCTTCGGATGTCCTAATACATTTACAATTATCAGAAACAATTTTTTCTCCCCTCCCCCTCCGGACGGCAGAAATTTCCTCTGTGTGGGGAGTGTGGATCTCTTCTGGAACGACCCAATGCTTATATTCATTCAATAGCATTTTCGATGGGCTGAGCTGTTGGAATCCCCTTCGCTGCATTAAAAAATACCTGTCCAAAAATAAGTTTATGGGCTCACACAGAGGGATTTAACCCATTGAGTTGCATTGCACCCTGATGCACCCTACTTTGGTATTTTACTCTGTCTAACGCCAGACAATTTTACTCGTCAAGGGGAGAGCGCTGGCGCTTAATGGATTAACTGGCCTATCTGCGCATGTGCCTAGTTAACCCATTGAGTTGCATTGCACCCCGATGCACCCTACTTTAGTATTTTTACCCTGTCTAACGCCAGACGATTTTACTCATCAAGGGGAGAGCGCTGGCGCTTAATGGGTTAAATTTGGGAGAGGGCTTTATATTCAGAATTTCTTGTGGTGCAATTCTACACAGGAGGGCTTATATTTGGGGTCTGTCATTGGGGCTTAGGTTTATGGTCATTGCTTGATTGCAATGGGTATTGAATCATTTGAATGGTTTGAACTTGATATCTTTAATGGCCTTTGATTGGCCCAGCATATTCAGCAAAACAATTTAATTTTCACCTGCCTGTTGTAGAAGTGATAAATAATATAACTACAGTATACACAGTCATTATATATAACTGCTACAAGAACCGCTGGCAAGGCTATATATATCACTCAAAGTTTGTCAGGGAAAATTTGTTTATATCTCTATAATACTATAAAAGCCTGTAGTGCTATAAAATAAATATACAGTAAGTGCACAGTGAGGATTTTGACATTATATAGTCTATTATAAGCAGGTTTTAAAACCCTATGGCTATGAAAACACAGAGACTAGTGGTATTAAAATCAATAAAAATTACAGGATTCCCAACCATTAATTCCCTATGTCCCCTATGGTTTGTGCTTCGTACATTTCTTAAATTTTTTTCTATCGAGTTTAATATAAAAGTAAGCAGACACAGCAAGCTAGAATCTAGAAATATTCAAATAACTGTATAAAATCTTACCGGTGAATAAAAATATATTCTTCTCGTTCTTGTTTGGACTTTGGAGAATTCTCACATATACGAGCGGCGTAAAAATGCAGTATCCGTTGTAAATCAAGCAAATTGGAAGAAAAATATCACGATTTTCAGTGAGATTTTCTTCTCAAAAACAAATTTTTTAGGCTCAAACCAGGGGGGTGAAGTACATCGTCGAAAGCTTAGGATCGCGGTTAGGACAGTGGTAGTTGCCATGAATTTAGGGACCAGTAGTCATGGCAATGGCGTCAGATCCGCCATGTTTTTGGCGACACTTTTTGATGCCGAGCAGGTCCTCCAGTAATATAGTATAGCTCAGTGACCGAAACACGCACAGTGACCCACGCCCGCGATATTTGATGAACTTCAGACTTCCCTAATGCTTTCGTTTCCCCGGGTGTAAATAGCCGGGGGGAATTAGTACCCTCGCACGGCGCTTCGCGCCGCCGGCTCGGAGATAATTAAAAAAACGTAGGGGTTCAATATAAAAATTAGTAGTTTTCCACAATAAATTGCTAGAGAAGATTGAAAGAAAGATAAACATCGTTCATCTAGGACATTGAGCAACGAGATTTTCATGCGAAGAACCTAAAGCCCCGTTAAAACGATTCGAACATCGTCCAACAATGTTGGAAAATATTGGATGAACATTTTAAACGTACACAGTTATTTGATCCAACATCTTGTCATCTTCCAGCATCGCAATAGTGTTCAAACGAGGCCAACAATGCCGACATGGCTTAGACGTTCAGGCGGGGGGGAGGTGCGTGCCTCTCGTAAGCGCACTGGAGGGCGAGTGTCTCTCGTATAAGTGCCGCAAATTGTTTTGAATAAAAAAAATTATATCGCCATAGTGCTTGGACGACCTAAATGCAAACGAGCTCAAACGAGGAGTTTTGGTTATTTACATTAGATTTGGCACCTAGATGCAATAAATGCGATGTTTGAAGGCCTCACGTCGTTTTTCTACAACTTAGGTTTTGAGAATTTTGCGTCACTCATTGGCCTGACGTATTCGATCAGCAGATCAAGTCAGCCAAATTGGGCTAAAGACAACTCTGCCCACGCTTGGAATGTAAACAAGGTTATAAGCAATTAAATTTCGAGGGCCAGACTCCCAGGGGCCAAATGAAATTAAGTCATTTTCAATTGTTTAAAACTTTGCCAAATATAAATAGTGGTTTAAAAACTTTACAAATGTTGTTTGTAAGGTATAAATGAACCATTTCATGAACCATGCCACAAAAAATGTTTACCTTATCATGCAAACATTACCAATTTTTCTGAATTATTTCTATTTTTGCGATGAATATAAACGCGGAATCGCATGCGATTGATAGACTAGTGAAAATTACTCCAAATACTATCATCTTGTAGAGGTATGAGTTGAAGACGCAAAATTCATGGTACTGAATTCGAAGCCGTGTCAGGCTCTTAGTTTATATAATACGTGGCAGCGCGATTTAGTTTATTTAACACAACTTTCCGGAATGACGTACTTAGCCGTACACTATATAGCCAAGACTAGGCACATTCCGGAAGAGTGCATATTAAATCGAGTTCTAATCTCAGAAATCACAATTAATACACTTACTTTAAAAGATTTACTTTTTTGAATAACCAATTGAATTTAAGCTTTAAAACAAGCATGCATGCAGCATTATTGTAATTAATAGACTTAACTTTAAAAGATTTACTTTTTTGAATAACCAATTGAATTTAAGCTTTAAAACAAGCATGCATGCAGCATTATTGTATTTATTTAATAAATAACCTCGACGATAATCAGGATAGATTATGTAATTATTATTGTCAAAAGTATTCATGCATTCACTCATGATCATTGATTACGATGGCTTTAACTCTAGAATTAGGAAAAATGGTTAAAATTTGAAACATATATATTGATTCCGTACCAATATTTGGAAGTTTTATAGGTTTCTGCAAAACTGGAAACTGAAGCGCGGCCTTGTAAAGCAGTCGGCCTTCTCTGATCGGAGATGTTAGAATTGAAGTGTCTGTAGGACAATTTCTTCCCGCCGTGCTAAATAGTTAAGAAAGCTATTTATACGATATGAGCCTTATCCTATTGTTTCAGGTTTAAACCTTAGCTGGCGCATATACAAAACTGCATAATTTTACGGTGATTGAATGCAATTGGTAAATTCCTTGCATCTTTATAAGAGAATGCATTCAGCTGGATTACAATATTTTTTACCTCTTAGGCTGCGGAACAAAATTGAAAAGCAATAACGAACGTAGACAAAATATTGCCAGGTTGCTTTTTAAGCCAATTAGATACATATAAAAGATAAACTAACATATTATAAATATTGCATATTTATTATGAATTTTACCAGGAAACTGAATACCAAGAATAGGGTGGAACCATTGTGTTTTTAATAATACAGATAGCAAAACCGCGAAATTATTATAGCTGGCTATTTTACAATAAGAAAGACACATTGGCATTATTGAGCGTATGTTTTGTACTTTGAAATTTGCCAAGAAGGGATTACGAGTCCCGTTAACGTTTATACATTTTCTACTTATGGTCCATATTCTGTATAGTTAAAACGAAACTGCTATGGACACTATACCCGTATACGTGCATGCTTAGCAAACCAAACCAGCCATGACTGTTTAATTTGCCCAAAATATTCCTACATATGGTATACCTGTACGTTATTCCATGTTTTAAACCATAGCAAGCAAATAACAGCTAATACCAAAAGCCTATTCGCCGAACAGCCTAACAACTCTCAAATAAACTCTTGGTTGAGCGCTTTGTATAACTCTCCTAGAAAAACTAATGTGTACAGGCAAATTTGATATGACATACTTTTTACACACTGATTAAAAGGATGGTAAGTTACGAAGCTAAGTATGACTACATTCAGCAAATCCACGGAAACGGACTTCTATATATGATAAGGTGATACGGTATGCCGGCAACTTTCATATAAAAGAGGAAGCATTTTGACTAGCTCAGCAAAATTTCCCCGATAGGTAGAAAAAGAGCATATATTCCGTCCATCCACCAGTAATTCCCATTCACAAATACTTTAGGATAAAGGCTGGCAGTAATGTCGTGAAAAAGTCTTCCTTAAAAAATTCCTTCTTTGATTTTCTCATGGAACGTGAGAGGAATTTATGAACATATTATTCAAGATGTTTGGAAAAAATAAGTTTGTGACTATTCTTTTAGTAAATTTCCAGGTGACTATATGATACAGTGAACTTAATAATTATCAAACATTCGATTATATAGAACTGAAGAGCTTACCTTTCCAACTTACTTCAACACTTTCGAAATCTATAGTTAGGCTGTTTCCTCTTCGAGACTGGGAGCAGTATAATTGAAAATAGAATAAGACCACTTTGTATTTAGATCATAATGAAGAAACCCTGCTGATTTGAATTTAATTAACTTCCTTGATGCAATCCTGACTGGTATCCATAACAAGCTCTAAATATCAAAATTATTAGATCTTGTATTTGTCGTTTATCCTCCACTGTTATTGTAAACATTCGTAATATCATGATCACTTGGTTTTGGGATTTCACCTCCACTAGTCAGTGATTAAACTGTATTATTATTTATTGAAAATAATTCAAGAGTTTTGATTGGCTAAGAGCTGTCTGTGAAATCGTCATATCCGCTCGGTAGGTGCCCAAATTTGGAGTTATGACATCACCGTGGAATATTGAAAACAAATCTACCACGTTTGACGCAATTTCGTGGTATATTGAAACACAATGCCAAAACACAAATGACTTCCTCAAAGGAAAAGTTCGCCGACCTTGGGGAAGCTGAAATTAAAAATAAATAAATAAATAATAATAAATAAATAATAATAAATGAATAATAATAAATAAATAATAAAACAATTATTGAATTCGGTTCTCGCTAGCCTCCTGCGCAGACGCAATCTCGTTCCCAGGGTCTCACCTCCGCTCACCTCCCGCTCACCTCCCGCTCCGGAGAGTCCCTGGTATGGTGTGGTCACGTGAGTCATGATCACGTGCTATACTCAGTAGGGGTAGCAAGGGGTAACATGATTGAGCACTTATTAACTAAAATTAGAAATACATGCATACAGCAACCCCTCGCATGTATTTTCCAAACATTGATTTAACATGAAGTATTAGTAACTGATTAACACTGAACCTGTGACTGAACGCAGGCTCGCGTTTATGTCAGTGTTGCCATGGCAACACGATAAATATAATTTTTATTATATTTTTGCACAACGCGCCAAAAATAGTTGAAAGATAATATTGCTTTTAACTATACAACAATGAATTTCCGAAATATGTATTGTAGGTATGTTGTTCTGCATTTTGTGAACTTGATTTAATGTAAAATTTAACGTGAATTGCTTCGTAAAATGTTTTGAAATGTTCATTTTAAACTTCTTTTTCCGATATAAAACTGTACGCGTTTTTATATAGTTTATAAAACAAAATAAGTTCAAATTGTTGAGTAATTTCAGTTCGGTTTTCAAATGAATTTGCTCTCCTTTACATTTTACCTTTTATTCTTAAATTAAACTAGGTAATTTATCAAACTTTAATACAGCTTCATTGAAAAGGAAAGCAGTACGTGCATGTTTTACGCAATAAATTAAAGCAACAAAATTATAAACATTAAACATGCAAAGCAAAGTTGCCCTATATTCCACGATTTTCCACAGTAAATCAATTCTTCTCATTTCTTCAAACAAAAATTGCTTCAAAGCTCATTGTGTGAAACGTTTCCAAATATATGCTTTTGAAAATTGAAATCTTGCTTATCCCACTCCTGGCAAACAGCCATATTTTTGAGATCAGTGTGGATGACCACCCACGGTTGGTGACCGACGGCCGCGCTCATTGATGAACTTTAGACTTGGCTAATGCTTCCCTATCCCCGGGTGTAAATAGCCGGAGTGAATTAGTACCCTCGCACGGCGCTTCGCGCCGTCGGCTCGGGGAATAGCAAATGTATAAAACAAAGAGTAAACCATATTTATCACTTAACTTTAAAATCTATAAGGCTGTCGAACAGTAATAAAGCATGATAACTGAAAGAGTAGAGAAAGCATCAGAGCAGGAATCTACTCGTCAATGATTTTGAAAGTTCCTTTTTAACAGTATGTCAAACCCAGTTGTGCTATAAAGTTATTGACCCTATTGTTGTCATTATAAATTTTGCAATGCCAATAATTACTATACCTCGGGTCGGTACGACACCGAGGTCATAAATTCGGCTCCTATTTTTTCCCCATTTTGTGTCGAGCCGCGCGCGTAGTCGAAGAGTCTGCGGAGGAGACGACAACTTCCGGTAAATAAGTGTACTTCCGGGAAATTTCAAGCATCGGCCAAAGCGAAACAGAACCCGAAGCTGTCCTTGCACAAAATCCGTCAAAATTGTTGATTTAAAACCAGAAGATGTGATAATTTTGACATACATGTTTAGCTGGATAACTATTCTCGAGTATATGTTGATATAATGTACAATACTTCGTATGCATAGCATGGGAATACAGCGGCCAACTTTCACTTGTCTGATACTGCTAAGCAGTTACTATTTAAAAAACCAGCAGGATTGTTTTATTAGGTTTAAAGCCACGAGCGGGCAGCGCGAGTGGCTTTAGACCTAATAAAACACGACCTGCGAGTTTTTTAAATGGCTTCAAAAACGTTTGCATAATAAGTCAAATCTTTATATAAAAATCTTTATATAAAAATCTTTATATAAAAATCTTTATATAGTTTGCATTATAACAATGGTCTTTTGTTAAAGGTGATCTACAGTCCGTATGTAAACAAAGCCTTTGTTTACATTTTTGTGTCCAAAATATTGAGCTTTATTCGACAACTATTTATATTTTCAAGCTTCTAGAGTATAATAAATGATCAAGAAACAACAATCAGGCTTTCAAGAACTCAAAACATAGTTAAACTGTTTGTATCATAAAAAGTGGGCTCATTTGTGCACATGCGCAGATCGGACTGTAGATCACCTTTAAAGTGTTCTTTAGCTGGTATAAAGACGTATGCACGTGACTAATTTCTTACTCAAGATTGGATAATTGCTTCATGAATTATTAATGAGTGTTTGAAGGATGGTTCTTACTGTAACTGGCAGACAACAATTTTGCCAACTGTCCACTCATTACATTCTTCGACTGTGGTACAACTATTACTATTGATGGATCAGTTATATGCACCTAATTATATTCATTCGGTACTTTGATATGTTTTAAAAATATCTGAAGTGACTGTCGTTCTGCTATGTGCAATCAACAAATAGACTGATAATATTGTCTGTTAGTGTTACTAAATACAAGATGAAGTAGTGAAGTAGCTATGTATATCATTCACTCGTCCTAAAAATATCCCAAATAATGAATAAATACAGTTAAATAATTGCGTCAGTAAATTTTCTAAATTGTTCCTGTATTTAGGCTAACTATATTAATAAAATGTTAAAAAGGAGCTTTGATTGACTGATTCACCACTTATACTAGTGAACTATTAAACTATCGTGATTTACACGATTTTTGCATATTTACCAGACGATGCTCTATCCACCAACCCGAGGGTAATGCCGAGCGGGCGTCTTGTTATATCACTAAAATTATTGGTGAGTGAAGAAGAATCGTTATAAACACTTTAATTATCGTTGGCCCTCTATACTATTTCTTGTGTATATTAAATAATGACCTAACCCTATATTTAATTGCTTTCTGTCACGAATTGTCTATTATTGCTCCTTTTAGTTAAAACCGATATCGGTTTTGTTTTTTACAATAATTCAACAAAGTGCAATATGTGGATGACTTCTCACCTGCGCTATATAATATGCAACTATGTTAATTGTACTAAAATAACTTTGTCAATGCTTTGGTATAAGGTCACAAAAGACATGTGCAGTCATACAAAGTTATAATTTAAGCATGTAATATGAAGGCATTAGAGCCAGCACATATAACAAAACGAACATGTAACTATTTGAATCGTGCAGATTGACATAAAACCTATATACTATACAAATGGCAATGGGCAATGACAGAATCAATGCAAATTTGTCAATCATCTGTATGAAATGAGACGCGTATACCAAAATGATATAGGCCCTAATGACCGTAGTTACTAAAACATGGAACGACCCACAACGAGCCACAACGAGCCACAACGACCCCACAACGACCCACAACGATCCACAACGACCCACAACGACCCAATACGACCCCACAACGATCCATAACGACCCACTACGACCCCACAACGACCCCACAACGACCCCACAACGACTCCACAACAAACCACAACGATCCACAACGACCCACAAGATCCCACAACGACCCCACAACGAGCCACGACAACCAAAACACCAGCCACAACCGGCCACAACAATCCACAAGTTCACAACAATCCAACAACAATCTCTGCATGTGCAAGTGGAAGTCTTGCATTTCCCGCCATTTTTGATCACATGTGTTGATTATTAAACATGTCGGACGAAAAAGGTGTGTATGGTGTGTACAACTCCAAATAGTTATCAATATTTTCCGGCCAAATATTTTAGTCGTTAAAAACAGATCTTTCATTTCTTTCGCACTATGTGAGAAATTCTGTAGTCATTACGAACATCGTCTGTCTTCGTGTTGTTCTGCCGTCTGCGCAAGCTTCATTTAATTTTTGCATTATTTTTTTTCTTCTTTTTTGTTCATATTGTTTTCATATTATACTGAAAGTAAATATATTTATTAGTACAGTGGTGTACGTCCTGAATGTTATGAACAAAGGTATTCCTCTATCTGTGTGTGTCGATGCTCTCACATTTAATCCTTGCTGGCTCATTTATTCTCCGCGTTTTAAATCCCACCGGTTCGCGTGAAGATTGTCGGGTCGTTGTGGGGTCGTTGTCGATCATCGTGGGGTCGTCATGGGTCGTTGTGGATCATTGTGGGGTCGTTGTGGGTCGTTGTGGGTCGTTATGAGTCGTAGTGGGATCGTAGTGCGATCGTTTGGGGTCGTTGTGGGTCGTTATGGATCGTTGTGGGTCGTTGTGGGTCGTTCCATGTTTTAGTAACTACGCCCTAATGACTATAATACGCGAACATTTATTTACACAAAACTAAACATTGTGCCAAGTCGTTAAAATATATATAAACACGAACCGTTAGCACCGGCACTGCATATTTTCAACTTGTGTAAAGGTGAGAGTTCATAGTTGATAAGCTTTTTTAGCAAATACACTAAAATGTATCCATTTTATTTTGACAAATACATCTGATCTGTGCTATTAAACACGTTCCAGAGCAAAGTGAAATATTCTATTTAAGAAAATTCATGCCAAATTTGACCAAAATTCTAAAAATTGTCAACAAATGAACAAAATTCGTTTCGTTAATGCTAAAAAGCCAAATTTAGACAATAATTTGCCACAAAAAATGAAGTGTTGCAAGATTCGATATAAATTGGTCGTTTTAGCATCATCCTGACATTTATATACAAAATAGTTTACACTAATTACAATCACCTAAAGCATTGACATAAAATCTATATTTTGGCACTGCAAATGCAGCGCCAACTCGAAAGCATGGACATAAAATCTACAACATATTGGCACTGCAATTGCAGCGCCAACTCAAGGCATTTAGATATAATCTATAACTTGTTGGCACTGCAATTGCAGCGCCAACTAAAGGCATTGACATATGATCTACAACTTATTGGCACTGCAATTGCAGCGCCAACTAAAGGCATTGACATATGACATACAACTTATAGGCACTGCAATTGCAGGGCCAACTAAAAAGTAAAGGCATTGACATATGATCTACAGTATAACTTATTGGCACTGCAATTGCAGCGCCAACTGAAGGCATTGACATATGATCTATAGACTATAACGTTAATTTATTGGCACTGCAATTGCAGCACCAACTCAAGACATTGGCCGTTTTTATACTAGAGACGCATTATGCGTCTGGACGCATAATCCGTCTTCTACATTATTCGTCTAGTATAAAGACGGGACGAATAATACTAGACGAATAATGTAGAAGACGGATTATGCGTCCAGACGCATAATGCGTCTCTAGTATAAAAACGGCCAATGCGACGAACTATCAACATTTATTGTTCGTCTGGTTATGCGTCCTTAGTATAAAGACGGGCACAAGACGCATTATGCGTCTAGACGAACTATCATCGGTTGTGCGTCTCTTAAGACGAAGAATCGAACATAGTTCGTCTAGACGCATAATGCGTCTTGTGCCCGTCTTTATACTAGGCCGGACCAGATGAACAACAAATGCTTGCCCAAGTTCGTCCAGACGCATAATGCGTCTCTAGTATAAAAACGGCCAATGCCATTGATATAAAATCTATAAGTTCATGAATAATGGTACTGCAGTGCCGACTGCCGAGACTAGATGGAAGGAGATATATGCCTTTGAACAACATTTATGGTAAAATTAAGACATTCTCAGTACAGTGTGATAGGGCCAAATCCCCATTTTATTCATTGACAGTAGTCAGTGGTGAGTCAGAAATTTAATTCACTACATCGGTACATGTTCTTCAATAACAATATGATACGCAGTATATAGAAACCATCCAGTTATCAAGTATTTAAAATTTCTGTCCTGAGACTGAGGCCTAGTGTGATTCAAACAAATTCTGCAATTTATAGTTAAAATTTTCCTAAATGTTCAAATCAGTTAAAATTGCAGAATAGAGAATTAGTTATTCAGTAGAAAACAGTTATAATAATTCCTAATTCCTCTCCCCTGCCATAAAATGATACATTTGGCGTTTGGTCTCTGGGCAAAACTTTGAGTCCTGTAATTCAAAAGCGGCAAGATCAACACATTCTTTCGATAATTCATCCGTCCATATTGTGCCACCACATGGCCATGGTACTTTTTAATTTTTAATCCATCTTCGAATCAACATGGGTCACTCCAGGTCTGACATACGGTCCTGTATACACCTATAAATGCGATTAAATGTATGATCAAACTACTAGCTGAAATATAATATTAGAGAGTTTATTACATGTATAGCCGCGAATTCTGAAATGAGACACAAGGGTTTTAATTCAACTGGGCCTGCTAGACTAAAATGACTGAAAATGACTGAAAAACGGCAAACATTGCAAGTCACTTGGTGGAATTAATATTAGAATGTTAGGGTTTGTAATCCAAGTGAGAATATATACATTTTAAGACCTAACCAGGAACGACTGCGAAAAATGCAGCACAACGTCCTCTGGTAGGAATTGAACCTACGGGCTGCGATTCCGGTGCAACGCTCTAACCAACTGAGCTACAGAGGCCAGCTGTCGAGTTGTAACCGCAAGTTCATGTATATATAGGTAATCGGGTGTGCGGGTTGTGATAAGGTCAGGACTTCAATAATTTGGATTCTTGCACTTCACTTGGTGGAATTAATATTAGAATGTTAGGGTTTGTAATCCAAGTATATAATCCATGTATATATATATACTATAGGGTTCTGCCATGTGTTGGTTATGGGTAAATATCAAGATTTTAATTTGTTGGCATCTCACTTGATTGATAAATTTATACTGTAGTTGAAGAGTCTTGTAATTATGAATATAAATGTACCCAAATTCCCACCCAATGAATTCCATCTACAAGACCCTTTAACCACTATTTTACTTTTTGTAAGTGGTACATGAATATTCAAATGGCCATAATTCCACTAAAATAATTTCTTTTTTGCAGAGCAATGTCTACTCACAAGCTAAACCTTCCCTTTTCTGTTCCCGAGGAAATGATCAGCAAGGAAAAAGACAGTGGTATTACGTATGACTTACATCAAGACAAGAGCCAGTAAAGGTGTATAAGAACTCTTAGATGTTTGAAGGCAGACAAGTCACAACATGTGATCAAAATGCATGTAGTACTCTTGGGGAGTGGCTTGTCTGTTGAAGCACATAATATGTATTATACTGATAAAATCTGCGGTAAAGGTGAGGTTGAGACTAAAATAATAAATCACCTGAACTCAGTAACTACAGTAACAAGCAAAATGTAATAAACTGCTACCTTAATTAATAAATGGCAGCATTTTCAGACAAACACATTTTTTTCTGACATAAATAGTAAATGAAGTCATTTGAATTAAACAATGTATATTGGGAAAACATAAACTGACTCCAATATTTCATCTATGGGCGCTTTCCATTCAATGACCTGACCGGTCAGACCTGAATTCTTTTCTCAGTATCAAAGGAAAGATCTGGTCTATGTTTCTCAAATGTCTAGCGAAAATGGACCTCATTCTAATGTTATCAAAAATTTTCCGGTTAGATAGGTCCAAAGCCCAAATGTTTTGTGTTTCATTCAACAATTTGACCGTTCTGACCGGTTTGGCCATGTTAATGGAAAGGGCCATATATATCTTTTTTTATTCAAACTTGTTTGGCATTGTTAAGTAAACAACGAAGAGAAATAAAATTGCAGTGCGGCTGCCAATTTTTCAATTTGTCCCTGCAAATGCAGTGCCAAAATTTCAACTTGGCGCTGCAAATGCAGTGCCAAATTTTCACTTTGTCGCTGCAAATGCAGTGCCAAATTTTCAACTTGGCGCTGCAAATGTAGTGCCAAATTTTCAATTTGGCGCTGCAAATGCAGTGCCAAAATTTCAATTAAAATTTCCTAATTTCTTGCAATGCTGCAGTTCTTGATTTTGTTGGGTTTTGTTGCAAATATTAATAAAATGTAGGGAATCCTGAATGAATGAATAGACAGATTGCAAGAATCTCATTATATTCCAATTATTAGCAGCATATTGGTCAAATTTCGTGCAAAAACAGCAGATTTGCTCAGGTTTTGTCCGGAATTCAGTTAAATAGAATATTTCACTTTGCTCTAGAACGTGTTTTAAGACCTACGACTGGTTTTGTTCCTTTTTTAATTTCTAAAACATGGTATTTTTTTCGCCCAAAAAATGTTTTAAGTACTGTTTAATAAACGAGCAGGGGTGTTTTATTTTAAAGACACGAGCGCGCAGCGCGAGTGGCTTTAGACCTAATAAAACACGACCTGCGAGTTTATTAAACGGCTTCAAACACGACTACAAATTCAATAGATATACCGCCTTATTAGTATTCTTTATATAAAAAAATATTAATGAGGACACGGCAACAATAGATACTGCCTTATTAGTATTCTTTATATAAAGAATACTAATTAGGAGTGTTTTATCAGGTTTAAAGCCACTGCACGTGACATATTATGGTTGACATGATTTGCCAATAAGCTTATGAATTATTAATGAGTGTTTGAATAATATTTACAAAAGTTGATTTTTGACGTCTCTTCAGAACATAACCGGCACAAGCACGAATGCGCCTTTTAAAGTTCTATTAACGCTCATTTGAATATTATACCGCGGTTATTCAACATAAAAATGATTTCTTTATCAACCTCGTATCCAGGCTCTTTCTACTACGTGCGAGGCGCTTAGTGGAAAGAGCCTGGGTACGAGGTTGTTTCTTTATATTTGTAACCTTGATTGAAATAATCACGTATTTAAAAATCGTCTTCCAAAGACGCCATCTTGACTTGAAACGTCGCCGCCACGTAATGTTTCGACAAAAATTTGCCGTGATGTTTCCAAAAAAATTTGCTGTGATGTTTTCTCAATTTTTTGCGGTGGCCCTCTGGGTCCTGAGCGTTTTTCAGGGATGTATATATTAGAAAAGGGGATCGTTATGGAAAAAACCTGGTATTCTTATTGAGACATTCTTAGAACACTCTGGTAAAAATTCCGGCTGGTTTATCTAAAAATAACTGGTTAAATTATATACTGGTTAAATTTCTGCATATTTTATCTTCGACTAAAGTTTTCAAGTTCGCTTTAATAGGGTTAATGTATGTTAGGAGTAAGATTGGGGTTAGGTTTAGGGATAAGGTTTATACCATTGGCATTGTTATAAGTGCATGATTTTTTTGCGTTTAATTACTTTACAAGTGCTGCATGCATGACATGATATCAAAAGAATGTTCACTGATCGGCCAATCTCACGCAATCACTCAGGACAGCATGCACGGACATAATTACATTAGTTGATGTTTACGTTGTTAATTCGATCTAACATTTATTTATTATTTCCATTAAATTTATTTGTGACAAATAAATGTGACTTTTAAACGTTTTCAGATATTTATTAACGTTAAACATACAGGTTTTGTTTAAATTTTACCGACGAACAGGGGAAATGAAAGTCAGAAATATGGATTCTATTTTTACCTATAATTCACAGTAGGGTGATAACACATATAATTATATTAACACATATTTTAGCTTCTTGTATTTTTAGTCTTGCTCCAATGAATTTCGACATTGTGATAATTTGAAAAGATATAAATCGTCACTTTGGCTAAAGTCACGCACTTAATTGGATAGTTGTGATATTTATCTGTAAATAACGCTACTATAAAGGTAAGTTGTTATGTCAGTATTGGTATTACGATATAACCAACGACGGTTTGGTTCCCATCAAATAGGATGCATGCAGACAAGGGCATATTTAACCTGCATGGCTGCATGTCGAGCATTACAAGCACTGTATACGTTGTGAACATCATGCGACGGTTGCAAGAATAGGTATATAATCTTGATTCTTGTATGGTTAACAATGACTATTTGTTTTTTAAAAAAAGTATCGTTCAAAATAAGTGTCGTTTTCAGTAGTATATATACACTAAAACTGAGTTAATAGAATTAAGAAACTATACTTGTAGTCATATATATATAGATGAGAATTGAGTGATTTGAATCCCATTCATAAAGTGGTCTATTTAAACTAACAATGCAGTTTCACTGTAGCAGACTAGTTTGTCTCTATTTCATTGTGCTGCACATACAGTGGCCTTATAGTCTACTAATTCTTTTAATGCAGCGGAGATTTAATTTGTGATGCATGAGCTACAATCAGTTTCAAAAGTCTTGGGACAGATGCCACAAAACCTTTGAAATTCAACAAACGACAATCCCCCCGCCCCCTGTTCAATGTTGTGTCCCATTTCTCGTCGGGTTTGATGCGTTCCGGTTTAAACAACATTGATTGGGGTGGGGGGAGGGGGAGGGGAGCGGTATTGTGTGTAAAAAACTATAATGATCCACTTACATGCTAAAACTACATGTGTCCCAACAACTTCTGAAAGTGATTGTCTGGGCCCCATATGCCATGCGAATGCTCTGCGAACGAAGTATTTCAGCTCCATTTCGTTCACAGAACATCTAATGACATTGTAGAACAATTAAGTTTCATTAAAATTCTCAAAGTTAATAATTAACAGAATTTGAATATAATTTGTTATGTCATATTGCATTCTTAATCACAAAGGTTTTATACGTTGTTTGTTTCTACAAATTTTGGCAGAGCACTAGTAGGTTATTTGAGAGGTTATAGTCCGTCAATAAAGATAGGTATCGCAAATGTTTTACGCTAGATATGTCACACATACTGTTAATTTATAGCATAATAATATAACATCCGGTTACTTTCGCATGCAGGTAAGGGCTGAGTCAACTGCTAATTCGAGTACTCCGAAGGTAAAGAACGTTTGATTTTTATCACCAATAGTGAATGTGACATTTCACATCTTTCTAGAGCAGAATTTGCAGATATAATTGTCGACGCATGGGTACGAAGGAGCACTCAGTGGGTGGGAATTTCGGAGGCTAATGGAAAGGGCGGTATCATAGAGTATATATAGTCACTTCCACATGGCTAAAAAAATGTCCGCAAGATCAAGTTGGCGAGCTATCGGAAAGCTCGAGAAGAGTAAATTCGGCATTTAATTGAACTCAGTCAGACAATCCCAAAAATTACTATTCAGCGTATTCGTACGTGGTAAAGAATGCCCCGGACTTCGTGATTTCTCCAGGGCTTATAGACCTCCCTAATGCTGACGCGTTAGCAAGTACTAGCGCGCGCGACCCGCCGAAGCAAGAGAGTTGCACAGACTTCCAAAAATATGTAAAGAAAGGGACTCGCTGTATATGGCGTTGTACGCATTATACAACACAAAGTTAGTGTTATACGCTAATTATGCTAATAAGCGTTTCCGGTCCAGACGAATGCAATGAAACTAACATCGGTTGTCACTTCGATTGTCACTATAGAAATGTGAAATAATGGGCAACTAGGCAGCTTTTAAATCAGAACAAGGCTAAGAATAATTTGTTGAGAATGTCTAACAATGTATTTGCTATTAATGAAAGGGTTTGAAATTGATTAAGCCAAGTTTTGGATCGATTGACACTTTTTTACATAAATAAAT